AGCTGGTCCAGGTTTAATGCTGCCTCGGCCAAGGGCCTGGGGATGTTTAATCTCCCAGGGATGCTATGTGAATGTCAGTGCTGGACGTGGTGCCAGGGAACGCTTGTGCAGCCAGGCCCTGTGGCCAGAGCCACTCTCCTGCACCAAGCTCAGCTCCTGCCAAGAAGCCGGTGGCAGTTGCTAGGGAGGGTAGGGGCCTGGACTCAGCACCCAGCCACTGGCCTGCAGATGCACCCTTTGGCCCACACCCGCTCACAGGCTGCATGCCTGTGTCCATGCAGGGGACATTCTCTGGAGCTTAGGCATATGAACAGGAAGCAAATGTCTAAAGGGGCCTGGACTACGTGCCTTGTGCAGATCACTATGCAGCTAAGTGCAAAGCACACAGGCTCCGCAAACATCACACACTGCTTTCCTCACACCAGGGCACTGGACAACAAGACTGGATTAATTCCTGTGGCTCCACTGCCTTAGGGAAGGGGCTCTGAGCACTGAGGACTTGGCTCTGACTCCACCGTGCTGGGCAATAGTAAACATCGAGAGAAAGGCGGCAGGCACAAGTGTGACCAGCGAGAGGAACAGGAAAGCAGGAGGCACACAGCAAAAGAGCGGGACTCTCCCAGTCCCTTGGTTACTCGTCTACACACGACAGGGACAAATCACATCATGCTCCTGGGTGAGCCTGAGCCTAGGTTCTCTATTCATGCATCCTACATGTGCTGAGTACTGCATCGGTGCCAGAGACATACAAGTGAGCGCATCAGACCAAGCCTCCCTAGTTATATAAGAATCCCTGCTGCTCTCCATCTCCTCCCACTGCTGACCCTGCCTCTGGGGACACCCCGGCATTTACAAGCACGGGGGAGGGATGCTGGGGTACTCACTATGAGGGCTCCACTCCTTTGGTTTCCAACCTTCCCTTCTCTATTATGACCCAGAATGACCAGAGACAGGGTGGGGTGGGGCCAGGAACAACTTTCCTGGAATTTCTGAGTCCACTTCTTGTAAGCTCCGCATCTCCATGGGTGCCCAGGCCCCAGGCTGGCTGGCTGGGCGCCTCTGATCACATTAAAGGGCTGCCATCCTTCAGCCTGTCTCCTGATGCTGGTAATGCCTCCAGACGCCACTTGGGGCCTCCAGGGGCTTCAGGCTCCAGGGATGGCAGCAGAAGAAGCTCCATCCACTGTGGGGCCAGGCAGGCAGGGTAGGCACCAGGAGCAGAGTGGCCTCTTTCCTCCTCCTGGCTCGATAACCAACCTGGATGCTGCTACCAGGAACTCTGTTCCCTTGTTGTCTTGCTCAGAGACTAAAAGCCTAGCCCCCACCAAATGTATAGGCTGTGGCAGGAAGAGGAAGAAGGCACTGGAAATTGGTGGAGCCCCCATGCCTGTACTGGCTCCATTCATATGCCCTTTCCCCAGGGAGAAAGCTGGGATTCAGAGAAGTGGGATCCCCTGACTAGGCATGGGGAGATTCAAGTCCTATTGATTCTAAAGCTTTGGGCCCTTTCGGGTACTGAGAAGAGCTCTCTGGTCCCAGAAGTCTTGTTTCTAAGACGCACCTGCCCTCTCCAGCCCTATCTCTGCTTATCTTTCAAGGACCACTCAAGATCCATCCTTTTCTCCTCCAGGAATTCTTTCCTGACCACCCAGGCCCACAAGACCAACATCACAGGCATTTCTTGTCATGCCATCCAATGCTAGGCATCGATGTTGACAGTGAATGTTATTAAGCACTTGAGAATGTGCAAAGTATTTTTATGCACTTTCATATTTATCCCTACAACAATCTGATGAGACTGGTGCCATTCAAAATTCCACACATGAAGAAACGGAAGCTGAGTGAGGATAAGCAACTTGCTCTAGGACACACATCCAGATGGCAGGTACTTGGATTTGAACCCAAACAGTCTGACTACACAGCATGTCCTCTATACAGGCCTGGACTCCTCCCAGAACATATATCTTGGGTTGTTTTTGAACGAGTCTCTCTCTGTTGCAAAACCACACCCTTGCCTTGGACCCCAGCATCACAGGCCTGGCACATGCTTCATACTTTTAAAAAGTGACATAAACCCATTAATTCTTCAAGGGTCAGGCCAAAGCTTTGCCCATCTCAACCCCTTGAGCTGGCATCTGATCAGTGAATGAATGCAGGGCTGGGCTGGTATTTCAGTATCTGCGATGACCAGGGTTCCTCAGCTCCCACACCAAGAAGTGAGTGGTCTGGGCAGTCTGTCCTTCCCTTCCCAGGGCCCCTAGCACCCAGGGTGCCTTGCCAGTGGGTGGGCTCCTTCTCTGCCTCCTGGGGCTCAGTCTTTGAGACAGGAAATACATACGGAACAGAAGAAGAGGATGAAGGTCCTGAAGGGTGATTTATGGCTTGAGCGAGAAACACACACACACACTCACACTCAGGGCCCATAATGTGCACAAGGGCATTCCGGTCGATATATTGACTTTCTAGAGGGGCCTCTGTAAACACAAGTGGTTCTGGGCCTCAGCCCCCTTGCTGGTTGCTGAGGCCTCTTTGAATAGAACTGGACAGAAAACCCCATGGCCATTAAGGATCAGCCTCCCACCTCTCCTGGACTGCAAATTTCCGGATAGGGAAAGAGACCAACCAACCCAGACTTGGAGAGGGAAAGGCGCTGGTCCAAGGTCTCATAGCAGAAGAAGGGCCAGAACCTCACTCTAGGCCAGGAACTGCTGGACTGCAGACCCCAGCCCTGCTGCTTGCTCCTCCTCACCCTTCAGTCCCTTGGACCAAAGCAACTTGGGCTCTGCCTGGCAAGGTTTCTCCTGAGCCAACTGTACACCAACAGCCCAGTGGCCACCGAGTGCTGGGCACTGTGCTAAGGGCTTTATTATGTATGAGCTCATCTGAACCTCAAAAGATCCTGTGAGGATGTTATGGTTATTCTCATTTTGCAGATGATGATAAAGCAGCACAGCATAGTTAGGTGAATGGCCTGAGGGCACCGAGGTAGTGAGTGGCCATGCTGGGAGGCTATGTTAAACTTCTCACTGTGCCAGCTGCCCTGGCCCTGCCACCTGCTGGGTGGGGGCTGGTCTGTGAATAGGGATGTGCCTAGGGTCTGGGGTGCTGAGGGCAAGGGTGAGGGAGCCCTGGCCTCTGACTGGCTCCTTCCTCGCCTCCTTCCCCACTCTGAGTTCTTAGGGAGTAAGGCAGGCCTTCCTGGTGTTTCACATGTGTTTGATGGGCTCCCTCCACTGCCAGGCGCATTTCACCCCCAGTCCCTCCTGGGGCCCAGCCCTGCAAAAAGAGCCAGCGGGCAAAGCCCCAAGGCCACCCCATTCAGTGGGACTGGGATGCTGGTGGTGGAGGTGGTGGAAATGGAGACAGGAGTAGTTCCCCAAGGATCGGTGCCCACCCCAAGTTGGTAGCCAGTTGGAATGCTGGCAGGGCCATACTCTTTATGAGTGAGAGAGATGGGGGTGACACAGTGCCCAGGTGCCCCAGATAGTCAGCCATCCCCACCCCATCCTCTCCAGGAAATGTTCTGGGAAAGACAGAACGGAGCCATGCCTGACTCACAGAACTGCTGCCAGGAAGCCCAAGGCTCAGGAGCTTCACTCTCAGCTGTGTTCTCTCCTCCCCATGTCAGCTGCTGTCTTCAGGTTGCCTCTGAGACTCTTGGAACATCATTTAACATTTCAGGAGAGCACATTAGCACAGCCCACAGTGATGAACTTAAGGGCTGAGCCCAGCAGCCCACCTCTCCAGCTTCCCAAATGGGCATCCACTTCACCAAGGGGGTCTTTGGGGGACAAAGCGAGTCTCCCACACCCCCACCAAAAAAGGACTCTGTAGACTGTAAAGCAGCACATGCATTGGTGGGGCTGTGACTTTCTTGTACATCTCCCCGCCTCTGGACCACACATCTTATCTTGGAGTTGGTCCTCAGTGTGGACAGAACTGAGAAGACTGGCAAAACCTCCCAGAAGCAGCATCTGGTGTGTGTGTGTGTGTGTGTGTGTGTGTGTGTGTTGTGTGTACTCTTGTCTCCTTTCTTCCAATTGCTTCTACCCAGAGCCCCAGGATCCTGCCCTGCCTGCCTGTACTGCCCCACCTGCTTAGGAGCTGCTTCTCATCAGGCACCCCTCAGTCCTGCTTTACAGGCCCCTCCTCAGCAAATTCCGGAGGACACCTCCCTCACCCCTGCTCCCTTCCTGAGGCAGATGAGCAGAAGCAGGACCTAGGTCACAGAGCAGACCTCCAAACTGCAGCTACTCCCATGGCTCTGGGTAAGATAAGAGCAGACTTTGGAGGCTTAGGATGGGACCCTCTGACCTGGGAGCTGCAGCTCAAGCTCATGAGCTAGGTTCAGGCCCATCTAGGGCCACTGTGCTTGTCGCTCTAAAGACCTGAGACCTGTTTCAAGCTGCCCTGTCCCGAAGCCCTCAACAGGGAAAGGTGCTCCTGCCCTCCTAACAGTAGGATTGGTTTCTGGCCACACCCTGCTTACAGACAGCCTGGGCAGGTGCATGCAGGTCAAACCCAGGTCTCCTCAGAGCAAAAGCCAATGGGCCAGGGTCCCAGTGAAGAGGCATCCCCAGCAGATCACAAAGCAGGCACTTCCTAGGCCTGGGGGTGACTCACTGCCCCCCATTACATACACCTATTTATACACAAACACTACCACCTGGACCATATGACAACGCACACACTCATACATATCCGCGTACAACAGCTACAAACCTCAACACAACCCATCCTTCTGCACACTTAAAACACTCCCACGAGTTGCAGTGCCCACCACCCACCCTTCTTTCCCACCTCCTAATACACATCCCCCTACACAAACACTCCTTGGTACACGCGCTCACACCCACAGACTGCTTTCCCCAGAAGTGAGCGCTGGGCGCAGGGGAAGTTGCGAGGTGCCCGCCAGGGGCAGCCTGTTCCGGGAGGTGGGAAGCAGGGGGCTCGGGGAGCTGCGCTGCACTGCGCTCATAAAAGAGGCGGGAGGCGGTAGCGTTAGAGCTCCCGGGGCTCCAGCAGACCGATTTAGCTCCGTTGGGGAGGGAAGTGGCAAGGAAGAAGAGAGGAAAAGTGGGGGGAGGTGAGGGGCAGGGGAGAGGGCGCCGAGCGGAGCCACCTTGCACAGCGCCAACTCCAGGTAAGGCGGGCGAGGCAGTGCTAAATCCAGCCCCCGAGCCACAGAGATGCTAATCAGGCGGCTTTGTCCCAAAAGGGGTGCAACCAGGAGCTTCTAGCAACCCAGCGCTTTTGGAAAGAAGGAAGTGGGGGGAGGGGTGGGGCGCTGATTTATGCCTGCACTTTAGCAAACGGTTTTTCTTTCTTTTTTTCCCTGCCATTAGCATCGCCAAAGACCGGGAGCGGGAGAGAAAGAGGGGGCGCCACGGGGACCTGTGGCTTACCGAGCTGCCTGGGCTTGTCGGCTGGAGGAGGCTGGGGTTGCTCTGGGCCAGAGTTCCCATCTATAGCGTCACCAACCCAGCGAAGGGCCACAGTCAGCTCAGGATGTCAGTCTTTTCCCCAAAGCTCCAGAGTGGGTGGGCTCGCCAAAATGCCTTGGGCCTGGGGGATAGGATGGGTGAGTTTCCCAATTGCCCAGGTGGGCAGGTCCAAAGGGGTCAGGAAGTGGTCTCCAGGCTCAACTCCCGGAGCCAAGCAGGGTGGGAAGCACCCTTCCTTCCCTGCTCACTAGAGAAGGCCCACTCCTTATATTATTCTAATTACAGTATTTTTAATTTATTTTTTTAAAGAAAGAAAAGCACGGAACGCTCTTGTTTGGTTTCATTTTGCCTTCACAGCTTTAATGACTCCATTTGTGGAAGCTGTTTAGGAAACTGGTGAGGAGGAGGAGAAGGCCAGCAAATGCGCCAGCTCAGGCCTGGGTGGCAACCTCCTCATGCCCTAAGGTGAGGACATCTGCAGGGGCAGCAGTTTCTCTGGGCCCAGGGCCACCAGTTCACCCTAGACCCAGACCTTTTGTCCTTTCCTGCAGGTCTCAGTGGGCTACAAGTCGTCTTTGATCCAGCTCTCAGGTTCAAAAGACGATATTGTAATAGAGAGGCCCAGCGAGTCTCCAGTACTGTCCTTCCAGGATCACTAACTTTGTTCGCCATGGACTTGGGATGGAAAGGATCCAGTTTGCCTCATGCTCACCTCCAAAGCCCTGGGCAGCCTACAACCCTGGGAAGCAACCTCTGGCTCAGAGAAGGGGAGTTGGAAGGCCAAGCTTATCTCAGGCAAAGCCAGGAAGGGCACCTTCAGTCCAGGACAAACTCCACGGTCACATGGGCTGTGGAAGGCTTGGGATCCCAAAACGTAAGGACATTATGCATATGTGGGATGCAGTTATACAAATGGGTGCAGAGCCCTACAATACCATTCAGCCGCTGCAGCCCAAGAGAGCTTGGTTTGCAACCGTCTTTTCTTTTCCTGGTCAGGGAAGTTGCTAAGAGGTCAGGGTGGGGGTTTGGAACTAACTTTGACCCCTAGCCAGGTTTCAGGAAGTTACTCCAGACCTCTGTCCTGCCTGCATATCGCTCCTGGTTTGCAAATGGACACATTTCCCCATCCTGCTACAAATCTCAGTCTAACCTGGCTACCAAAGCAACCACCAACCACATCTTCAGCAGCCTGAGGTGGTGCTTCAGTCTGAAGACACTCGCCCTCCTCCTCCTTCCCTAGCACCAGACTGAAGTTTATGAGGATGGAGTTCAAGTCCTGACTCCTACCGGAGTCCCAGTGACCTTGGGAAAGTGGAAAAGCCTGTCTCAAAGTTTCAGCAGTTAGATAAATGGATTAGAAACCGGGGAATTGTTTGGTCCCACAGAATCCCCTGTTGGGGAGCGGGGAGGAGACAGATCTGGAGGAGAGAGATTACAGAGAAATTCCTCCCCTGCAGTAGCAGTTTCATGTTAATGAGAAAGCCCATTAAGATACTTGATTTTCCATTTAAGTGAGATGGGTGCTTGCTATAGTGTTGGGAGAGATGAAGACAAGTCACCACACAGCACAGGAGGACGCACACCACGCAGAGATGGCAGGAAAACACTGATTTTAATTGCACCTTTAAAAGAAAAAGAAGTATTATGATACCTCCGTTCCTTCTCCATGGTCCCAGCCAGAGACCAAGGAAGGACTCATTAAAAGCTCTAGGAAGCACTGAGTGGGGAAACCGAGCGATCCCCAGGGCCAGCCAGAGCTTTTGAAGGGGCTCCCCTGGCCAGTCACTTCCTGACATCTTTTAGGGGTCTGGGGTTTTATGGTTCTAGTTTTGATTTCTCTACCATCAAACTTTTAGCTTAAAAAAATTCTCAGGGCTGTAAAGGAAGCTCACTGCCATATTCTGGGGATGGGGCGGGGGGGGGGGGCAGAGAGGTGTCCCCATTTCACAGGAGTCTGGACACCCAGGGAAGCTCTAGGTAGGGACAAGCTTCTACTGCCTCAGCTTGACAGGCGAGTTGGGCACGGGATGGTCAGGGCTCAGAGGAAGGGTCAAGGGTGGCTTGAAACACCTGACTAGCGGATAGGAATCCTGCATGCAAGTGTGGATGGGTGTCAAGTGAAGGCAAGATTTGGGCAAAGCGAGACTTTGGCCTTGGTTTTCCCCTTCAGTGAAATGGGACTTATGATGGATCCATTGGAAAAACTCCCCAAAATTCTGAAAGAAACATGCTTTGTGCCCAAGGCAGTAAAAAAGAAAGGTTATGTGGGAGGAAGGGGTACATTTTCCTCCCCAAGGCAAGTTTCTAAGGGCGGCACATTCGGGCAAACAGAAGGCTCAGGCCAACCCCGACAGTTGGCCCCTCTCCAGGCTGGTGGGCAGGCAGCCCCTGCCGCGCTAAGTAATGAGCACAATTCCAGCACAGCTTCTGCCCGCTAGTGAGAAATCAAAGCCCGGTATTAGAGGCCATTTCTGGCTGGGCACAGGTTCGTGTCCAAATCCATCAAAGCCCTGGGCCTGGGGTTTCTTCTGGAGAAGATGGGGGTTGGATGCTTTGTTAAACAGCAAAAGCAGGCCACCTCCAGACTTCCTGCCCAGCCCAACCAGCCACAGAACTCCAGGCCCACCGCTCAGGTCTGCCTCCTAGCTGAGTCCCCCACCATCCCTAACTTTGGTATTTATTCCCGATTCCACTGCCCTGCTGGTACAAAAACAGCTTCCCAAGACACAAGCCTGCCCATGTGGCATTTACAGGCTGCACCGTACCCTTCAATCACCTTCTCAAACACCCTCAAAGTAGAAACCAACACCCCAATCCAACGCCTCCCACATCTAACTGCACCCTTTAAAACAAGGCTGGTCATTCAGCAGCTTACCTCCCCCCTTCCCTTCATTACCTCCCGACTTCAAAACACTGCTTTAAATACCGAGTCTGCCCAAATCATAATTAACTTGGATCAAATGATTGAGTGTTGTAACTTTACAGCACAGGACTTGGAAAAATAAAGGCGTGTGTGTGTGTGTGTGTGTGTGTGTGTGTGTGAGCACGCGCGCGCGCGCTAAAACCAAGCCCTCGCTCCTGGCCGTGGGAATCATTAATTTCAGAGTGAGGGATCTTTGGTTATTGCAGGGGAGGGGGGAGCGGATGTCCACATCGCCGCGGAAGGTGGGAGGGGGACGCTGCGTCATCTGCAGTTCACTTTCTGCCCCAGTTATCCTACGGGATTCTGGGAGAGGTGTTCTGCAGAATGTCCCTTTTGCCCCCACCCTACAGGTCACCTGCTTGGGTTTGGGTACCAGAGAGATTGGATCCAGTTCGTTCACCACCTTCCCGGGGAGACACAGCTCACTTAGCGACGCGTAGTCCAGCTACTGGGCAAGTGAGACGCTTATACTAACAGGGCGCCAGAGACGGGTTAGGGACTTTATATTAGGAACCCACCAAGCCCCTCAAGGCCTCTTCCTGGGCCCACAAAAGGTGACGTACAGCAGCCAGCGCACCTGGTCAGTCCCCGGACAGCGAGAAAGTGTGTGACCCATTTAAAAGGAATAGGCCGGAGCACTATGTATCCCCGCCCTCTTCCAATATGCATATTAACACCTAAGGAAAAAAATCACCTTGCAACCGGGGGACACCGAGATCTCAGAACAAATGCATACGTGGGATTCAGCCCCTCCCCCCATCGACAGCCAAAGCTCTGCAACCCGGCCTCCAGCTGCCGGCGCGGGACCCGCGCCTCCCGAGCTTGCAGGTCCCTTGCTCCCTCCCTCCCGTCTGCAGAGTGAGGTCGGGGCGGCACGCAGGAGCCTGTGCTGGCCGGGGCTCGAACTAGGAAGTTGCAGGGAACAGGAGCGAACGCACATCTGGGTTACAGAGCGACGGTTCTCTTCGGAGCTTTTGTCGCCGGGCACGGCGAGAGCCACCGGTCCGCTGGAGGTGATTCCTCGCGGAGGCTCAGACCCTGACTCAGGCACCCGAAGAGGAGAGACGCTTCCGGCTTACTCCACCCCCACCCCCGGGCAGGGTCCCCAGCGAGGCGGCGGCGCCAGCGCCCACTTTGGTGGGGCAGAGAAATCCGCCTTCTAACTTGGGCGTCCTGCCGCTTTCTACGGGCGCAACGACTCCGCCTCAACTTCGGAGTTGAGCGCAGCAGCAAGGCGCAGGGTCCTCGCATCCCCTTCTCCGGGCAGGAGCGCTCCCTACCTGCTTGGCTCAGCCTCGGGTTCCAGCAGAGTAGCAGCGCCAGCAGCAGCGCGCCCCGCGCTCCGCTCCGGACCCACATGCTCCCGCGGCCCGGCTCGGGCGCCTCTCCCTCGGGGCTCTCTCCCTGGCCCCAGCCTCGCCGCCGCCGTCTCCGTCGCCGCCGCCTCCTCCTCGCCGTCCTCCCCGGCGCCCGGCCGCGCCAGCCCGTGCCCTCCGTGGGGGCAGCGGCAGCCAGGCTGCGCGGAGGGCCGCCCGGCGCTCCGAACGCGGTGGATGCCCAGTGCCCGCTCTGGAGCCAGGCTCCGGGGCGCCCTCCGCTGCGCTCCTCGGGCTGCGGGGCTCCGAGCGCTCCCCGTGCTCCTGCGCCCTGCCTCCGAAGTTGCGCGACCGAAGGTGAGCGCGCTCAGTGGCGCTCGCAGCGGCCGGCGCCGCGCCGTCCGAGTCTGGGTGTGCGCCTCTCCGCGCCCAGCCGCTCCCTGCGGCCCCGGCGCCCTTGCCGGCCCCCGCCGCCTGCCACAATGCCAGCGCCGCCGCGCGCCCGCTGGACAGAGTCTGCTGCCCGGGAGGGGCGGGACCGCACGAGCGCGGGGCGGGGCCTGGGGGCGGGGGCGGGGCGGGCGGGGCTCCTCCAGGGGGGACTCCACAGCCTGCAAGGGCTGAGCTGGGGATCCTCAAGGGGGGACCTCGAAGAACGCTGGGCCCAGTGGGTTGGAAAACCCGGCCGCTGGAAGTTGGCTGGGAGCGGACTCCAGTCAATTTTAATTTCCAAAAAACGAAGCCAGTGAAGTCTATTTTGCGCTCTTCCTTGGTATGGCTGTGTTAGTCTTCACCTCTGATGGAATGGAGGACTATCGTTTGTGGTGTGCTCTGTGCTTTCTAAATGTGATCTTTCCTGTAAAGGCTTCCTAAGTGAGATAATCTCAGATACCCACTTGCTGGTTGCAGGATTCACTGTTGGGTGGACTTGAGCATGGATGGGATTCATCCTGGTGACGGACCTCCGGGAGTCCTCCTGAGCTCTGAAGCCAATACTTACAAACCAGTACCCTAAGTTTTCTACTCAGTGCAAACTTAGGCTCTGTCCCTTACCCATGTAACCTTGAACAAGTTACTAATTTGCTATTTTTTTTAAAATGTACTGGAGATGGAACGAACCCAGAGGTGTTTTATCACGGAGCTACATCCCTAGTCCTTTTTATATTTTATTTTGAGTCAAGGTCTCACTAAGTAACCCAGGCTGAGCTCAGACCTATAATCCTGCTGCTGCAGCCTTCAAATAGCTGGGATTTGCAGGCATGTGCCACTGTCCCCGCATTACTTAACCATTCTAATGCTGGTCTCTGAATTATCATCTGTAAAATGGGAAATAATGATATTTCCTTATGGAAACTGAGTGGATATATATATATATATATAGAGAGAGAGAGAGAGAGAGAAAGACAGAGACAGGACAGAGACAGAGAGACGAGAGAGACTGTAGTACACATGTCAGTAGTTTTTCCAAGATTCTCCTCTCCCAGCCAGAGTGATTCTTGGTGAAAGTCCTGATCACCCTGGGATGGGCCCAGGAGCCTGAGGGGCCAGGTGAGGTTTGTCTGATGGTTGTTCCTAAGGACTAAAATCCAGAGAGATCCCAAAGGGTGGATCAGGGGTAGAGACCTCCAGTGAGCTCGGCACAGGACTAAGCACTTAATATGCATCTCAGCTAATTTCCACAACTCTATCTATATCTCTATTTTACAGGTGGAAGAACTGAGACAGAGATGTAAAGCACTTGCCCGAATCAGCCAGCTGAATGTCTGAATGAAGGGGCCAGGGTGGGTGAGACTAAAAGGAAACCCTCTGAGCCAGGGAGTCTCCTCCCTGCACACCTTTCCTGGGGCAAAGTTGGCTGTGCAAAGGGGCTGGCACCCAGAGGGAATGTCTGCTAGCCCGATCTGTCCAGACTTACACTTTCCCTCCTTTTCAGAGCTGTTATCTGGAATCAGTCCTCAAATACAGATGCACCAGCTGCTTCAGGAAAGGCCTAGTGTTCCCGGAGATGTCCCACAGGCTGGAGAAGGCCTTGGAGGCCAGACCTACGGCTAGAAAGAGACCAGGTTGGTAGGGCAAGGGCAGAGAAGCAAGGAGAGCACAGTTCCAGTTGTGTCCCCAGAGGGGACAAAAGTAGGCGGCCAGGACACCTTCCTGCACCTCCTCCAGGTTGGGTTCTGGGGCATCTGGGGGAGGCGGTGCATGTGGTCAGTCACCTCCCTACTCAGCTCTGGCTGTGAACCCAGCATTAGAAGGGTGGGTATGGGTGGAGTGGGGCTCTCTGAGAAGGACTTTGGCCAATCTAGAAAGCTGTCAGTATGCAAAGGTAAGTGAGTTATTTTTATCCAGGCCTGAAACAGCCCAGGCCAGGGCAGTAGATGAGTCAGTAGCTGACCACACCCCGCCAGCCCCACCCATCCACTAACTGCAAGCCCATGGGTAGACACTCAGCCCTAGACATAGTTACAGGCATGCCCCATGCGTATCTGCAAATGTACACAGTGAGCACACAACAGGGACACACAGGTGCAGTGATCCTCCCTCCCAGGAATGTCACATGCACACAGATAGGCAACCACAGAGACACCCACAGACTAAAAAAGCAAACACATGCACTGGCACACACATCTAAACTCACAAGTAGGCAGACGGCTCTAAAGACAGTAGGTGTTTAGGTTCTTAAGTACCACCAGGAGCCATGTCCAAGCATACGGGTCTCAAGATTTGCACCTGAACATCATCCCCTGGACAGAGGCACATGGTCAAGGGCACTGTGCCAGAGCTCTCACGAGGGGCCTCAGCAGGGTCAGGGCGTGTGGGGACTCCAGGCTCAGCCTCCATTCACCCCCACCCCAGCCAGTGAAGCACTAAAGACTTTTCTCAGAAGTTCCAGTCCTTAGAACTTTGCTGTTTAGGCAGGAACATGTACCCAGCAGGCCAAGCTAGCCCCAGTATCAGGTGTCAGGGCTTAGTTTAAATTCCTGCCTGGGGAAAGTGTAGGGGTTGCTCAAAAGGAAGTTGGTCTCTTCCGCCCTAAGCACCCCCTACACACACTTCATGTATGCTCTTGGAAGGTCCAGAGCTTGCTATTTCTCGGGGGCTCCTGCACAGGGCAGAGCGTGTTGGGAACATCTTGATAACACCCTCACACTCCTGTCTGGGGGCCATGCTCATCTCTAGTCACCTGCTGCTGTCAAACCATTGCAGATGTGGCTTCTCGCCAGCCCAGATGTCTGAGTGCTGTGCCTTGAAGCACTGCTCCCCCAGCATGGGTGAAGAGCAGGCAGTTCTGCAGTAGCTTCACTGGAACTCACCCAGTACCAGTGTGTCAGACTCACTGTGAGGGGCACTGCTGGGAATTAAGCAAGAGGACCCCCACCAGACCCTCTTCAAGGCAGGGGCCTTGTCTTTCCATTTGCCCCAAGTTTCTGGCAGATGCAGATGATACTGGTTGAGTGGATACATTAATGAGACTGGGGGAAGAGGGGCTCATTTTTTGAGAGCTTAGGGGCCTGAGGTTGCAGGACTGGCAGGCTTTGGGTCCTAGGGCTACTTTGATATCAGCCCTAGAGCCAGGTCTGATTCTTCAGTGGAGGCTGCAGCAGTTTCCAGGGGCGCCTCTCATTTCACCCGAGCCAGAAATGCGTGGAAGCTGGCATCTAGCTCACGGTGTGACCCGGGTCCCCAGGGCTGTTAGTACTTGCCCTGCTGGGAGATCTTGGGCCACTTACAGAACCTTCCAAGTTATCACTTTCCTCCATTGTCAAGTGGAAATAATAACTACCTGTGGGATTAAAAGGAATGCGCATAGAACCCCTAATCTAGCCGAATAAAAGGTACCTATTTTGTAACAATTATGATTTCCAAAGCAGTTGTAGAGGCCTCCTGCCGGGTGGCTGGCAGCGGCGCTTGGCTCCTCCCTCCCGGGCGGATCGCGTGCTCGCAGCTGCCACTAGGCGGCGCGCTGCGGCCAGAACCTCCCCTAGAGCCCAGCGATCTCCATTCAAAGGCGCTGGGCCTGCGGGAGATCGGTGCGCGCAGGACCCCACCCGGGGTCACCTGGTAGAAGGTTTCCTTTTGGGTAGTAAAGGCAAAGGGACTTTCAGATGACTCCTCGCGCGGAAAAGTTTGAGGAAGCGCGCGTCATCCCTGCCCTGGCCCCCCCAGAACCAGACTCAGGCGCTGCAGAAGGGAGGCGCTTAGGGCTGAAGTCCTGAACGGTTTTGCAGTCTCTCCCGAATGGCATTATCCCAGCCGGCGCCGAGCACTGTCCGCGTGCCAGGCGCTGTCCTAAGTCCCTTCCATGCTGACAACCTATGTGACAGGTGCTGTCATTTCCCCAGTCTGCCAAGGCAGGGAATGAGGCACAGAGCCGTGACTCGCCCACGGGCCCACCCAGCTAGCGCGCGGTGCATCGGGGAATCCCAGCCAGGCAGAGCGCATCTCAAGCTGGTACTCGTGTTTTTAAAAAAATGAGACGACATTTACATATTTTATGTAAATGTTGCATGCATTTTCCATTTTAACCACTTTAAAGTGCACAGTTCTCTGGTTTTTAGTATATTTGTGATGTTGTGGTGTCATCACCACTATCTAATTTGAAAAAATTTTCATTACCCCCCAAAGAAACTCCGTTCTATTAGGCAGAGATGGCTCCCCATTCTCTTCTCCAGCCCCTGGCAACCACTAATCTACTTTCTGTTTCTATGGATTCGTCTATTCTGGACATTTCCTATAAATAGACTCATAAAATATGTGGCCTGGGTCATTATACCTGGACTCTTAACCCCTGCTAAATCCTGAGACAACCCTCTTCCCTCACTTGTTCCCAGTCTCTCTTTTCCCCAGAAGGAGGCCTTCCCTGGGGTACTCAGGCTGGCAAGAACTTAATCACAAAAGCCTTAAGCCCAGGGAGATCCGGGTTCAAATCATGCCAATCTTGGACAATCTACTTATTGTCTGAGCTGGCGCATTCAGTATAGCTCGAGGGGGTCAAACTGCCCTGAAGAGAGGGCACTGAGAACCAGACCCAGGGTGAGGAGGAAACTGTAAACATGGAGAGAACTGAGGAGAGTCTGCAGGCAGCAGCATGAGCAAAGGCCCCAAGGCAGGAAGGTAGTGATTCGATTAGGAAACTGCCAGGTTTTGGTCCTCCCATTGAAACAGCATAACCAGATACTACAGGAAGAAGAGGCTGGGAAGGTAGGAGAGAAATATGCCGGCCGCAGCCGGCCTTGCTGTCTTGAGAGATGAAAGGTGGTTTGGTAGAAAGTGGGGAGTCACAGGTGCTGACAGAACTGGGGACCATCTTTGGGGTCATGGCAAATGAGGGGGACAGTCAGCAGGGTGGCCTTTGCATGGTCCTGGGTAATGCACCCTGGCCTGGGGTTTCAGGGGGCAGACTTGGAGGCCCCACAGAGGGAAAGAGGGGTGTCCCGCTTTTGCCCCAGGGAATGTGGGGATTTGGATGGGGGCGAGGTGTTGCAATGAGGGGGAAGTTGTGCTGGGGACAGGTACGGACTTGGGGTTTGGGCACCATAAGCAAGAGGTCCCTGGCAACTTCCTAGCATGTGCCGTGAACACAGGACAGACTGGTGCCTGCACCATCTTAGAAAGTAATAATGCTGGCCAGTGCTCCACAGGGGTGGGCCTGCTGTCCCAGGGTAACCTTGAGGTGGGTGGACTCAGTGGGCTCATGAATCCCCATTTTTAAAATGGGGAAACTGAGACTTGGGTTTTCTGCTTAGCAAGAGACAGAGGTCAGATTCCAAGCTGGGCAGCTGGTTCCAGAGCCTGCTGTCTAACACACTGCTGCTCACCATTCCCTGTGGGTAATTCCTTTATTTTAGGGACCCAGTTTTCATGGATTATCTCAGTCTGTTCTTGGGAGTAGGTGTTAATCACATGCATTGTAATACAAACAAAAGTTCCATAAGGGAAAAGGATTTGTTGAAGGTCAGCGTGGGCACAGGTGCCAAGCTTTAAGTTTTGTTCCTACAAGGAGTCCACACTACCAACCTTGACGAGGTCCTGTTTGGTCAGCGAGGGAAGCTGTCTACTGATGAGTGAGGTGAGAGGAGAAGACACACTCTGCAAGGCTTAAAAGCTATGAAATAGCTGGGCGTGGTAGCGCACGCCTGTAATCCTAGCACTTGGGGAGCCTGAGGCAGGAGGCTCACTGGGAGTTCAAGGCCAGCCTGCGCTACTACCTGGCAAGCCTCTCTCAAAAGCAAAACAAAACAAAAATCCAAAAACAGAAGTAACTCCCCCATAGACCCTTTATTTTTATTGTTGTTTTTTAAAGATAGATCTCTTAAACTTTCTTATGTTTGATTGCTTAAAATAGTTCAATTTAAATGTTCAGGTGACTCTCAAGTTCCTTCAGGTAATAAAACCATCAAGGCACTTCACATTTGTCTTAAAGGTGGGAAAACATAGCTGCTGACACATACAACTTTCCTCTGCCATTTCCAGCACGTCCAGTTTCAGTAGTGCTACCATGATGCATCCAATATAATTGATGTAATAAAGGACTCTTAATGAAACTACGCACAATATTTCTACTACCCAAAGAAAATAAGCAGCTGTACATAATTCAGTCAATAATATCCATATTTAAATTAACTTTCTTTACAAATTACTATTTTGAGAATTGCAATGCTGTAAGGTTTTTATTTATACAAAAGTATAATCACTTAAATGATAACAGCTCTTTAAACTAAAAATGAGAACTAATTTAGCTGGGTTTGATGGCACATACCTGTAATTCTGGCTCAGTGGGAGGCTGAGGCAGGAGGGTTGCAAATTGAGCCTAGCTTGGGCAATTTAGCAAATTTGTGAGACTCTCTTAAAAAAGAAAAATAAAAAGACTGGGGATATAGTTTGATGTGAAGGCCCTGAATTCAATCCCCAGAATCACAAATAAAGAGATAGGGGAGGGGAGAGAGGATTCAAAACAAATTTGGAAGAAAAAATTTGTGGTTGTGGATTTTCAGTACTACTGTAGGTTCTTTTGAAGTCTGAGCTGGCACTGAAGATAACTGACTATTATTTTCAGGATAAATGCCAGAGAACTCCTTCAGTGGGAAGAAATCTTGAGGTGATTCATGCATCCTTTCGGAAAGGGCAGGAGGAAAAAAGCTCTTCATATTGTGAACTATCCTTTCCATGTGTTAGTTGCAAAGACCTTTTGATTGTTTTATATATACGTAGCAAGCCTGAACCAGTTTAAGTGTGCAGAACAGCAGCGCTGAGTATATTTTGGAGGAAAAGACAGAGCAAAGAAACCTTACAGTAGTGTGTGTGTGGGGGGTGTGAAAATTTTCCTCTCTGCTGAATTCTGAGTCTTCGATGAAGGACCATATTGGATGTACTCCTATGATCATTGTTGGAACTTCAGCAGCAGTAAGCCAAGTGTGATACTCGCTTATAATTCCAGCACACGGGAGGCTGAGCCAGGAGAGGCTCCATGAGCCCAAGGCCAGCTTGAATTATAGGGTGAGACTGTGTCTCAACCCTCCCTCCCCAAAATTCAGCAGGTAAACTGTGTTTCGACACCTAGCTTTGCTCTTTTGCCATAAAATCTAGCCCGCCCTGGTCTACGAAGCATCTGTCTCGCTTTTCAGCATCTGCGTCCTTACCTCTGTGGGCATCTTTAAGCGGGGCTTACACAGACCCTGTTCTCTGAACATGGCTAAGATTACCAAAATTTACCTTCTCTTTCACTTAGTGATTGTATGATGTGACATTTTTCAACGAGCGAAAACTGTTTCGTAGTAAGAGTGTTGTAAAACAAATTCTGATGCCCAGGGCCTACAGCACCACCGCCCGAGACAGCACGCGGAAATCAGGAGCTGGATGGCTGGGGATGTCGGGGGGCTGGGGGAGCCGGGAGAGAGTCCAGGTGGAGCAGGGGAAGGGCGCACACAGCACACCCTTATTCTGTTTATTCCCCTCCCTCTCCCCACACAGCTTCCTCCTTCTGTCTCTAGATCTTCTGTCCCCATTTTCCTTGTAGTTACTGTTACTTTGGATTTCATGTTTGTGGCATATAATGTTTTTGTTCATTGTGGGTGTTGGGTACATGCATAAGACACATCTTAGATCTTTTTTTTCCTTAAGTATGGAACACGTCACGAGTTTGTGTGTCCTCCTTGCGCAGGGGCCGTGCTAATCTTCTCTGTATCGTTCCGAGTTTAGCATATGTGCTGCCAAAGTGAGCACCTTGAAGTTCTTTATGTCACCTCCTCCCCTTCTGCTTCCCCTTGGTCTCTTAGTCCCCTTCCTGTTTGCAAAAGGTCTCTCTCCCTGTGTCCTTTTTTCAGTGTTTTATTTTGCTCTTTATTTGTGCTTTGCATTGTTCAAGTGAGTGAAACCACCTGGTATTCATGCTTGTATGTCTAATTTGTTTCACTTAGCATTGTTTTGCAGATATATCTACTTTCCCACAAATGCCTCAAATTTGTCCTTCTTTGTAACCAAGTAATATTCCATCGTGTATAGATGCAGCATTTTCTGTATCCATTTGTTTGTTGTTGGACAGATAGGCTACTTCCAGGATTTAGCTATCATTAATTGTACTGCTGCAAACACTTTTATGCATGTATCACTGCAATATAATGTCTTTTATAGGAGAGGAATAGGCGGGTCTAATTTGAATTCTCTGAGAAATCTCCATATTGATTTCCATAATGGCCATAGTAACTTTCATCCCCATAAATGCAGAATGGGTCTGTTTTCATTGCAGTCATGTCAGCATTTGTTATTATTTGATCTCTGCCATTATTTGATGACTGCCATTCTTTCTGTTATAAGACGAAACCTTAGTGTTGCTTTAATTTACATTTCTCTAATGGCCAGATGTGTTACCTATTTTTCATGTGTTTATTGACCATTGTGTTTCTTCTTCTGAGAAGTGTCTAATATCTGGAATACATAAAATACTCAAAAAACAAAATTGCTGGGTGTGATGGCTTACGCCTGTAATCCCAGCACTTGGGAGACTGAGGCAGGAGGATTGTTGCGAGTTTGAGACCAGCCTGGGCTACAAAGTGAGCTCAAGGCCAGCCTGAACTACATAGAGAGACCCTGCCTCAAAAAGACAAAAAAAAAAAAAAAAAAAAAAAGGAAATCACCCAAAATAAAAGAGCCGGTCAAAAAACAGGCGAGTGAGATAACTTCTTTAAAAACCCATTCTCTTATAGTAAACATTTGGATTGTTCCCCATTGTAGTCAGCACAAACAAAGCCATTCTGAGTATTCTTGAAAAATGTAACGGAAGGCACATGTTCTCATTTCTCTGCAAGCAATACCTGTGAGCCAAACTGGGAGGTCTATCAGGCTGGTGTGCGCTTAGCTTCATCAAAGTCTGCTGGAACCCCAGGCTAGCCTTTCACTGCCTGCCACCACGGTGTGGCTCATCTCGGCCCTGGCTTGGTATTGTCTATGTTTCTCATGCTGACCACTGGGAATTAAGTCACTTAAAACTTGAGTTTTATTTGCTGCTCCTCAGATGGCTAGCGGTGTTGACATCTTTGTGTTTTTCTTAGGCAAGTCATACTTTTTTTGAGTGAAAGGTCTAATTAAGGCTATTGTCCAACTTTTATTATGTTGTCTGCCTTTTATTATTGATTTATAGGTGTTCCTTAAATATTCTGAATATATGTCTTTTGTCAGCTATATGTTCGGTAATATTTTCTCCTGGTCCATGAGCTGCTTTTTTTTTTTTTTTTTTTTGGTCTTTTTCCTTTTTATCGGTACCAGGGATCGAACTCACGACTGCCTGCTTGCAAGGCAGGCGCTTATGCCACTGAGCTAAACCCCAGCCCCTCTTTTTTGTTTTGTTAACAATGTTTTTCAAAGAGTTTTAATTCTGATAAAGATCGGTTCTTCCAGCATTTCAATTGTGGTTACTGAATTTCGTGTCATGAAGACAGTATCCTGTGTTTCTTTCCAGAAGTTTCATGGTAATTTGCTTTATGTTTGAGTGTATTACCGTCTCTGATTACTTTTCCTGTACGTCATGAGGCATAGGCTTTTCTGTCTGATTAACCAGTTGTGGCCGCATCCTTTTGGAGAGGTTTTTTTCCTTGTTGAGTCAGTTTATTCTGTTTCATGAACTTATTTATCTACCCTTATGCCAATACCTCTGCATCTTTATTATTAAAGATTTTGGGTTAAACCTTGGCTTCTCACCCTGTTTGTGGTTTCAGTGTGACTTTGATACTTCTATTGTGTGTGTGTGTGTGTGTGTGTGTGTGTGTGGGATCGAACTCACGATCTTGTGCTTGCCAGGCAGGCACTTATGCCGCTGAGCTAGGTCCCTGGTCCCTTTGATACTTCTAAATCATTGATATTTCCCTTACTATCAGAATCAGATTGTTAATTTTTACAAAAGAATATTTTGGATTTTGATGGGATGGCATTGCATATATACATCTATTTGGGTAGATACTCAATTTTCTGGAAGCACAAATAGATGTATCTTTCTATTGTCTTAATTTCCCTCACGATTGCTATAGTTATTCATATAGACAGTTTGCACAGCTTTACTACATTTATTTACATGTATTTTATTGATTTTATGCTATTATAATGTTTTCTAAAATTTCGTCTTCCAAATGGTTACCGTGGTGATACAGTTGATTTTGTACAGTGTATTGATCTTGTCTACTACAATTTACCAAGTTCACTAACTAGTACTATTTATTTTATTTTTAGTGTCTTTGGGCTCTAAGACATACGTAAGCATATCATCTATGAATAAAAACATACTATTCATTATTTCTTTTGTTTCTTTAGTACTTTCCCCCCAAAATCTATTTTATTTCAAGAAGAAAAAGAAAGAAAAGAAGAAAAAAAAACTAAAATAAATTTCAAAACACGTCAATCAGGGGGCAATAATGGTGTATACATTGTGCATGGTCACCCCCAAATCACTCACCCAGAACACAAGACAACTGCATTCAGTCATTTGAACAATACCAGCACAAATCTTTCTCTTCAGTGAACTCAGAGAAATCAGTAGTGTAACCATGTTAGCTATTTTTATATAAATATACATATGCACACATATGTTGTGTCCTTCAGCTTCTCACACTGAGACAATATGATGTTTACACATGTGTGTCTGATTTGTTTCACTTATGAGTGTGGTCTCAAGTTGCATCCATTTACCTATAAAAGTCTCCAGTTTATTTTTTATGGCTGAGTAGTTCTCCATTGTATAAAACTGCCGTGTCCTTTTTATCTATTCCTCAGTGGATGGACATTTAAGTTGTTTCCAAAATCTGGCTATTATTACAAACTATGCTTCTATAAAGATGGATGCACATATTTCACTGTGGTATGATGCTTTTAATTATTTTGGGAAGATACCCAGCAGGGGAATAGCTGGGTCAAATGGAACCTCTAATCCCAGTTTTTTGAAGAATCTCCACACTGATTTCCACATGGTTGCACCAGTCTGCATTCCCTCCAAAAGTGGAAAAGCGTTTCTTTTACCCCACAGCCCTTCCAGCATTTGTTATTGCTTGATTTCTTGATGGCAGCCATTCTTTCTGGAGTGAGGTAAAATCTCAGTGTTGTTCTAATTTGCATCTCTTGAATGACCAGTGATGTTCAAAGTTTTTTCACATACTTATTTGCTGTTCATATTTCTTCATCTGAGAAATGTGTATTCATCTGAGATGCCTATTTTTGGATTGCGTCTTTAAATCTGGGAGGACTGATTCTTTTGAGTTCTTTATATGTTCTTGATTGTAGTTTCCGATTTTTTGTTTTTTTTTTGTACAAGGAATTGAACCCAGGACCTTGCATTTGCCAGGCAGGGACTGTACCACTGAGACCAATTATTATGAATTGTATTTATTTCTCTTGCCTTATGATACTAACATCTTTAATACAATGTTGAACAAAAATGGTGAGAATAGATATTGTTCACATGTTCTCTAACTTAGGTGGAGGTACTTACATTCCACTATTCAGTACATTAGTTCCTGGATTTTCACAGCTCAGTGTTATCATATTGAGGAAATTTCCTGCTGTTCTATTCCTATTCTGGTGAGTTTTTAAAAAGCCTTTGTCAAATGCTTTTTCCATATTTACTGAGGTGGTCTTATGTTTTTAATTCTTTTGTTAATACGGTGAATGACGTGGATTGGTCTTCAAGTGTAATCTAGCTTTCACTCCTAGGATAAAAAACACTTAGTCAAGATGTGTTATCCCCTTTATTTCTAGACTCAGTTTGATATTTGGCTAAAAATGATTGCAGTGATGTTCATGAGGATTTGGACTGTAATTTTTTGCAATATTCTTACAAGGCCTTGGTGTAGTAGGGTCATGTTGATGTAGTAAAATGAATAGAAAAACTTTGCCCTTTTTTGCTTTTGAATAGAGTTAGTGTAAGATTGGTATTATTCCTTCCTTGTACTATAGATAGAATCCAGCATTGAAGGCCCTGGGGACCAGGTTTTAATTATGAATTCAATTCTGTAACACCTGTTGAGGTATTAGTACTTTTTATTTCTTCTTGGACCAGTTTTGGGAAGTTGTATTGAGGTGGAATTTATCTATTTCATCTAAATTGTCATATGTATTAGTAGAGTTTTATAATGTCTGTACCTTCAGTGATATACCACCCTTGTTCATAATGTTGGTAACTTGAACATTCCCTATCTCTCTCTCTTTCTCCTCTTGTTCAATCTAGTTAAAGGTTTATCGATTTTATCAAATTTTTCAAATAATCAAATTAGTCCTTGTTGAATTGTTCTATTTTCTTTTTTTTAAATTTTATTTTGAGGGGCTGGGGTTATAGCTCAGTGGCATAAGCACCTGCCTTGCAAGCAGGCGGTCGTGAGTTCGATCCCCAGTACCAAAAAAAAAAAATTATTTTGAAAACAAAAATTTTATTTTGAAAGTAGTGAAAATGCAACAGCACAAGACAGAACAAAGCCAATCGAGACAATGCAGTGAAACTGGTACAGGATTTCACAGTAGGATATGGGATAGTAGTAATAGGTACTATGGTATATCTCCTTAACTTTACAATAGTTGTCCAGTCAATTAGGTATAGCAAAATCAAACCAAAAAAAGACATTATTGTGATAGCTCGGACCATGGAATAAAACCCAAGGAAGCAAGAAATTAAAATTTGGGGAGCAAAGGCTTTATTTTAGGCCAGGCCTGGCGACGCAATCTCCGGGAGCCAATTTGGAGACTGTGTG